ACTTAATATTAATTATTTTACTATTATTAGAATCAAAAAAATTTATTTTACAAACTTTTCTTATAAATTAAAATTAGTTTACTTAATATAAGATTTTATAAAATTAAATATAAAAAATATTTATCATTAAGATTATATATAATTTTAAAATACTACTTCTTACTCTTAATATTAGTTTTTTTTTTTTAAATATTAAGGTGAGTACTAGTGACCTAGGATTTTCTCTTAATATTAGTTAAATATCAAGTAATAATATATTTATTAATATTTATTAATATATTATTATATATTAATATATATCTAGTAATAAAATTTTTTGATAAATTAAATTTTAGTATATCTGATTTATATATATATATTTATTTTTTGTTTTAATATAAAAGAAATAATCTAAACTATTTGTTTTTATATTAATAATAATTAAAAAATTTTAAACTTTTTATATAACTTTTAGTTCTCTATTCTTAAATTTTTTAGAATTAAAATCTTATAAATAAACTTTTTACTTCATATATTTTATATAAACATTACTATTTATATTTACCTATTTATTATTAAGATACCAAATTAGTTTATATCTTTATTGAACAATTTGTTTATCTAATTAACTATTATTTAGTTTTATTAATATTTTATTACAATACACTTTTAATTTAACTATACTTAATACTATATATAATACTATAACCAACTTATACTATCAAATTAAACTATTTATTTACAATATACTAGATGCATTATTAATTTTTTTAACTTGAACAGACTTAATACCAAATGAACTTATTAACACTATTACAAATTTGTCTTTTAAAAAGTAGTTATTACACTTTTTATAAAGTTTTTATTTTTTTTAATTAATAAATTTATTATAAAATCTAGATTCTTTACTGTATTTCAAGATTTATAGCTTAACTTTCTAACTATAACTTATTATTAAATTTTGTTATATTTTTATTATACTTTTTTTTTTAATTTAATTAGTTTAAAAATTAATTTTTAGTATATCTAATAGATCAAATATTAAACTAATTCTTTATATATAATTACTTATACCTAAGTCTAGATGAGTCTAATAACTTTTACCAGTTTAGGTTATAAATAAATTAGTTAGAACTTATATTTTTTCTATAATATTTTAAAAATAAATTTATACTTTATATAAAATCTTAGTTAAATATTTAATAAAGACAGAGACATGACATCACTATTAATATTAAAAAATAAAATAAAATAATCATTTAAATTCATTTTAACTATAATATAGCTTTATTAAAATTATAAAATCTATTTATAAATATATTTTTTTGTTTTTATAACAATGTAATAAAATTCTATTTATACAGTAATTAAGTAAGTATTTTTTTATAATACAAAAATTATTTAATTTAAGAAATTTAATTAATCATATATTGAATATTTGGTAGATTCTTTGTTAATTTTTGATCAGAAAAAAGTTACAATAAAAAATGATTAATTGTTAAAATAAAACAGTTAATAAGTTACAATTTATTATATAATTCAAATAGGAAAATAAATTACTTAATATAAACATTTTGACGATTAAATTTACCAAATTAATTTCTTATTAGTAAAAGGAGATATAATAGTAATAAGAAATTTTATAGTTATTTTTTTGGTATTAAGGAAATTTTATAATTATAATAGTTTAGATAAATAAATTAGAGTAGTTAGATAAAATAAAAAATATGTAAAAGTGAGATTTTTTTAGTAAATTAAGTTATAATTAAAATTATTATAAAATAAAAGCTTAATTGCTTTGAGAAATCAAGTCTCATTTTGCATTATTAAATAATAAGTCTTCATATTATACATCGTCTATAATATTACCTAGTATAAACCCTATAAACTCCATATAAAATCGTTGTTCGTTCAAGTTCTTGATCACGTGACTTACCCTACATAATCTTCGTTGACCAAAGTAACCAAAAGCCTTAATCACCCACCAGTCAAATCTAACACCCTCTTTCGTAAAGGTTACTTATCGTTAGTTACACGAAATTCTGGATTGTGGAGTGACCGAGTCGCAGTTTTTCGAGCACGACAATACTTTACATGGGTATCATCATAGAAAACCTTAAGTTTTACATGCTCCAAAATTTCAGGGAAGGAAATATCATATGAGGAGGGAATATTATGTTCGCATGTATGGTGTTATGCAGGTACTTTAAAGAGCGTTATTTTTTAATGAATATTCTGCATATATAAAGAAATTCTTGGCAGAACTTGACAAGTTGAGTATGAATGCAGAGTGGTACGTACGTATGTACGCGACTCATTGCATTAACAAAATATTATGTAATTATACATAAATCATGATATTAATCACGTTTTTAATAAACCATTTTAAGGTATGATGATGTCAAATTCAGCCAATTAAATTAATAAAATTAATAAAGTGTCACACACTAGTTTCACAAAAAAAGGCAATACATTGCCTATCAGACACTTCATGTGATTTAACACGTTGTTTCTAAAAATGAGATACCTTGTAGGTAACCGCATGATAAATAATCAAGAATCTGGACCTTACCACAAAAGTTCGTAGATCATAATATTGTAACAAGAGAATAAACACAAAATGATGTCAGAGCCTTTAAAGTAAACTTAGATTTTAGCAATCAAAAGAACGCGTACAATTTATTTTCCTCAAACATTGAATATTGGATACTTTTGAAGAGTCAGATTCTATTCTTCATTTCTTACAATTGATACTCAAGTATAATTTTTTTCCCAAACCCACCTCTAATTAATAATCTAGATTGGCCCTGAAAGTCCGATCACATGCATATACACAGTCATGTGAAACCTAATGTAATGCATTCTTTGCAGTATGATTTAACTACTAATGGTGTTAAATCATTAATTAATTGAATGATATTTATGATGATTGTTAATATTTAGACAAACGTCAAAAATAATTAAAAACATGTCTAGCAAATGAATAACCGATATTATTATTATTGTTGTTGTTGTTTAGTTTTGTTTTAATGAATTTAATTGTTGACGATTTGTTTTTATATAATTTATAAGACTGCGTTTATAAATTAATAATCTTTAATGATTTTAAATATAACTATAAACTAAAACCATTAACGTTAAACGTCCAAAGTATTAACGCTAATTGTCATAGCCATACGACATGCACTGACAAATGCTTATGTAATGCTATACTATAGGTATGTCATTGGCATAACGTAATTGCATGTAAATATATGTTAAGAAAATACTTATAAGTATTACGGTATTATTCTTGGTTTAACCAATCAAATTATTTATGCTATATACTGTATTATCGCGGCTGATGGTGGAATTTTTAAATATTTTAATATGAAATTTTCAAAAATTTTTGAGATGCATTTTTTTAGCTTTTTTTTACAGTTAGATTAGGATTTAGGGTTAGTTTTGATAATAAAAGAGTATAGGTGGATTTTGGGCTGGGTTTATATTTTTAAATCAGGGTCCCTAATTTCCAGCATCAGTCGCGACATATATTTTTAGCTATAATGCCAAGTCTAGTATGCTTTAAAACTTAGGGCTTCATTGTGGTTGTAACCATGTTACTAAATGATTTTACTCGCTTATACTACATTTTTTAAATTATTTTATTATTATTATAATAGCAATTTATATTAAATCCAAACACAAGTAGGTTATGGGTTTAGAAGACTTAATTTAAAAGAGGAAAAAGGTCATTCTATTCGCTATGATAAAGTTCATATATATAATAACAAGAAGGTGGAGAGGGGTCAAAATTACGTCATTCATTTTCAACTCCTTAATTTAATTATTCTAAATACAAATATTATTACGTATTATTATTAACCAGATATGCTGTAACTAGTTACAACCTCTAATGGTTACGTCATTAATCTTTTTTTTTTTAAAAAAAAAAACAGAACTCCAATTTACACAGATAATAATAATAATAATAATACTAAGAGATTGCTAAGTATTATTGTTTGTAAAGTAAAATTAACGATAATATATAGTTATTGATTTATCAAAATTTATACGTAACGATAATGATAACTAATACATAACATAAAAAGTAAGAATAAATGTTAAGATTTTGATAAATTCGGTTAAAGTAAGGAAAAAAAGGTTAACATAATTTTTTTATGATGAATTTGTATATATATTTGGCAAAAGGTTTGAATCAAATTAAATTTAGCCATCAATAAAAACCAAATTCGTGATCAATGATTGACTGATTAATTCTTATTACACATATTTGTCATTTGAACAGATTTCATAGTTATTTTCTAACTATTAATAGTAATGATATAACTTTATTGGTGCGAATTTGCAGAAATTAACGGCTCAAAAAATGAATTGCTGCATGTGGAGTAATCCCATTAAATATTATGTAACGTCAATTGAAATAGCCAATCGTATTCCTTTTGGCAACCATAGTTTTCTTTAAAAATCGGACAATAATCTTTTAAACAAGATATAATAAATTCAAGTGTATTACTGGAAGATGTTGAATATTTATTCATTATTGTTTACAAAGAAAGTCGCATATTCCGTAAAATTCCAAAATTTTATTAACATGATACTTTAATGAAGAACCTATACAGTTCGAACATTAGAAGGTTCTATTGACTTTGAGCAATCATTGATTTCCCAACGTGGTATTTAATATGAACTCTTCCCATAGTACTTAATAATTTAGTTCACACGCTGACTATGTAATAATCAATGAATCGATGAGTATATGATTTTGGGTTCACTAAAAAATAAAAAAAAAAAAAAAAAAACAAACTATAAAGACCCTTCAATTTGGAATCTTTGCGTATTTATATTTTATTACGTTATTAAGATAAGATAAGCATTTGTTGTAATAATCATAAAAAAAAAACGCATTTAAATAGAACGTTTATCTTTATTTTTTTTTTATCATGATATTTTTTTTGTCCACAATATCGAACATTCTTTAAATTACAATCGAGTTTTTTTCACCTATATAAAAAGATTAGATGGGCAATAAATCCTCAAAATCTAGACCAACTAATATATTAAGGCCTCGAAAGCCTTCCAAAAATATTTTTCGATCCGTTCATGGTAGAAGATTTCATAACGATGTAAATTCAAAGTATATACTGCCGAACGATGACGAAGAAGGTTTGTTTATAATACATTATTATACATTATCACAAGATGTACATTACATTACATTACGTATTTGTCATGTGACAATGCAAATCACTATAATAGGTATTAATTTAATTTTCAATACGCAGTTGATAGACTTCAGTTGCAGCATTTTCTTTATCGAACTATATGGAATGGTAATTATTCTGCCCCAGTAGCCGAAATTCTTGAACATGGTAATTGCAATGTTCTTGATGTCGGGTATGTATATATATTTATTTATTTGTTGGTATTAACTATGGGTAATGTGATTATAATTTCGGTCGGCTCGGGTTTTGGCACTAGTAGCAATAGACGCATGGAACGCCTGAAGCTTTATTAACGCTTTTATTATTCTTTCATTAACAAAGTTGTGGTCCTGGTACGTGGCTTTTAGACATGGTAAATATCTTGACACTGTCCATATTATTATTTATCATGTTCATTAATACCAATTCTAATTTATTATTATTATTATTGTTATTATTATTATTATGATTATCAAATTTACAGTCAACAACATACCATAAATCCAGGTTCATTGGGATAGACATTTCTCCAATGTTTCCGACTGGTATAAAACCTTCAAACTTGACTTTCCATACAGCCAATGTCTTAAAAGGCCTACCATTCCCCGACAATCATTTCGATTTCGTTTACATGCGATTCCTAATAATAGCGTTTACCGAAGAAGAATGGAACACGGTAATTGATGAATTAATCAGAGTAGTGAAACCTGGTGGTTGGATAGAATTAATGGAGGGCAATATGGAATTTGAAGGAGAAGGTGCTTGCGCGCAAGTTTTAATGGATGCTTGTAAGTACTAAAATTATCATTACATTATTATTATTATTGTTATTATTATTATTATTATTTAATAACTTGATTTTTTTTTTAAAAAAAAAAAAGTTAGATCGATACTTCTTTCGAATTCTATGAACCCACAAATCTGTTCTCAAATATTCAAATACCTTTCAACTTCATCAACGTTAAAAAATTTCTCGTTTGAAGAAAGATTAACACCAATCGGCACGTGGGCTGGTAAAATTGGTGAAATTGCAAGTCAAGATTTTTGTTCTTTATGGTTAGCAATGAAAGGTGCAATATGTCATGTACTTGAAGAAAAAAAAGTAATTAGGGGTTGTAGTTGTACTAAAGAGTATCATTCTGAAAATGTGATTTCTGAAAAAGGATGTAAAAGTATTTGTGATTATGAAAATAGATTGAATGAAGAATATGACGAGTTGGTTAAAGAGATTATTTGTGAATGTAATGAAGAAAAAGCAAATTATAGACATTACAGATTTTTTGCACAAAAAATTTGATTTTATTTTTATTTCATAGACAATTACATAGGACTCTTTTTTTTTGATTTAACTTCCTCATATACTTAATCATATAAATCATATAAATCATATAAATCCATAATTACTTGTAAGTTATGTATATTGTATTATTCTTATTCAAAAAAAATTCTTATGATTTAATGTAATTAGAAAAAAATTTTTATATATTCAATTAGTTATAAAATATTGTTAAACTAAGGTACATCTGTGTTGTTCACAATATTGATAAAATTGATAATTCCTGATAATCGGTTAAAAATTAAACATTGATTTTTTTATATATGAGTGATGCCAAGAGAAAACCTGACCTCTTCAATTATAGTTAATTATTATTATTAGCGAGGTCACATATACTGTACAATCATTAAAACAAATATATTTGTATAGTAATAGACTACTAAATCAGCTTAGAAACCTTGTTTGTAGCCCTATAAATTCCCTAATAAAAATTTTATTTACGCGTACTTACGTATGTACGTACACCTTCACTACTCTCAATGATAATACGTACACAGAACACAAATTGCGTCATGCATAAATAATAAAATTTAAATGTATCATGTGAGAGAATATGTCGAATGGTATTTGGCTAATATTGTGTAAAATAATCGTAATCATAATTGAAAATATTGCCTAATCTGATTTTATTAGCCGTAATTTCAATATACGTATGTAATATATAGTAATTACGTATGTGCCTATTTAAAAGGTTTTAAAATAAATCTCGTATAAAAAAAGGCAAATCACATTATTATTATTTTAAAAATTTTAAATTATAATTTTCAAAGATTAATTGTTTAAGCCTTTGTTGCTAAATCGAAATCGTAAATCGGAATTTTCCGCGTAAACAAAAAGTTTATCATTTTTTATTAAGATTTTAAAGTTATATGTACGAGAGAACACGTAAATTTTCTTATAGAACTTGATAATTTTAGTTATGAAAAATATAACAGCTAGTAGGAAAAATCTATATTATCATTATATTTTATGTTAATTTTTTCTGTATTACTAAAAAATGCTTCTTAGGTTTTAATTTTGGATTTTTGATCAAAAAACCTAAAATCTTGTATCTTTTTTTAATTTTTGATCTAGCCAATTAAAAAGACAATCATTTTTGATTCTAGAAAAAAGTGTTAAGCTCAAATTTTGTATATTGACACAATATTTTTTTAAAAAATTATAAATAATTATTAATTTAGTTTAATTAAATTTTTTAAATATATATTAAGATGAGTACTTGCAACTCAGGATTTTATTGATGATACATTCAGCTAATAGTTGTAATTAATTAATTTAAGTATTATTATATTTTATTTTATTATATAATTATATATTATTAAAGTTTATATATTGATATTATATATTTATTAATTAAATAATAATAATTTTTATAATGTTTGATTATATTTTACTAAAATTGAAAACTTTAATATTTCTAAAAAAATACAAATATTATATAAAATTGTATTTGATTTAAACTTGAAAAAGATTAGTTTATACTAGCATTTGAATTTTTATTACTAGTTAATGTTTTACATATCTCTAATAGTAATTATTATATTCTTCATACAACTTGATACATTAATTTTTTTCTACAAAAGAATCTCAAAAATAAAAAAAAAAGAAATTTATATTTATTTAAAAAAATGATATTTAAAAACTGAAATGCCTTTAAAAATAGTTTAAATACTATTTTTAATATATAAGTTACTTTTTTATCTAATATAAATAAAAATAAAATAAACAAAACCTAAAACTATTAGTTAGTAAAAACTAAAAAAACAATGAACAAATATATTTTATATATCTTTATAGCATCAAAACTCTTTTTGTATTTCTAAAAGTTACCAAACTGCATTTTGTTTTAAAATATATTAACAAATGTTTATATTATTTTCTTAATAACCAATTTTAAACTGACTAGATCAGTTTAATCAATAATTAATCTGGTTAAACATCTTTAATATTAGTTAAGTTAGTCAAGTAATTTAGTTATAAAAAAAAATTATCTAACTAGACCAAATAACTATTATTAAATTTGCTTAATTGTCATATTACTAGATTATTTGATTAATTTGATTAAACCAGTTTAACCAGAAACCCTTTAGCTAATAACTAGTAAATTTATAATTGATTACTAATTTGATCAACATTATTAATAACCTATTATAGTCAGAATCATAAGTATCTTACTTCTTCTAACTTTTTAAATTGAAAAGATATAGCTTTAAAATTTTTATAATAAATAGTATTATATAAATCTAGGTTAGTAAATTTTTTTTATAATTTTTTAATCACTATAACAAAAGTTAGATAAGAGTTAAACTTTTACTTAATTTTTTTTAACAAAATAAAAAATAATAATTATATTTAATCAAAAATTAATAGAGATTTAGAATTAAATTCTAAAATTCTAAAAACTTAATATATTAAAATTTAAGTATTTTTATAGTAATAACAAAATAGTTATTGAAAAATTAAATTTTTAATTTTAAATTTAAGATTTAACTTTTTTTAAATAAAATAGTTTATGTGACTAAGTTTGTATTGATTTTTATATAGAAAATAATTTATTTTTTATATAAAAATTAATAAAAACCTAATTGTGCAAACTATTTTATTTAAAAAAAAGTTAAACCTTAAATTTAAAATTAAAAATTTAATTTTTTAACAACTATTTTGTTATTACTATAAAAATACTTAAATTTTAATATATTGGTTGTCTTATTAAGCATGATACACTAACTTGATACATTTGAATTAAAATGTAATTATATAAAATTTTACATATTAACTTGCAATTAAATTAATATATTTAACATTTGAAGATTTATTGGACAATTTTTTTTTAAAAAAATTAAAAAATTAAAATATTTTAATAT